ATACTGGAGCCATATGACAAGGCCTAGGGTTCGAATCCTGGGTTAACCTGAACATGCCAAGTGTGCCCATAGGCACACCAGTGATTCTGGCTGGCTGGAAGGCTGGGGAGAGGAACTCAATGTGACAAGACCCTATAGGGGGTCTTTAGGTCTCTTTATCAAATAAATAAACTCACTTAAAAAATCATTAATTGGAGTCAGCCCAAGGTGTAGTGGTGAAGGCCAAGTGTGGAGTTTGCGTCTGGGACCCAGTGGTTTGAAAAACACTCCAGGAACCTGCAGATGGCATAATGGTTACGTCACTGGATTCCCACATAGTTGACCACAGGTCAAGTCCCAGATCCAGCAGCTTAAAACTCATATTGGGCGCATGTGTGTGCATGTCCAAAATACCGAGAGGAGGATAGAGGACAAGGAATTGCAGTGTGGCCAACCCTCCTGGGGGGTGATGCCTCACTTCCTGTCTCTCTGTCTCTCCAGTGAGAACAAGCATCCTATAGCAAAAATCTCCAAAAGAAAAAAAGAGAGAGAGAGCTGGCCAGTGGCGTAGTGATGAAGAGTGCTGGACTCTCACATGGTCGACTGTAGCTCAAATCCCAGACTTGGCAGCTTGCTTTCTCACTTTCTCTCTCTCTTGCTCTGTCCCTCTCTGGTCAAATTAAAATAAATAAATAAATAAATAAACAGTTAAATAAAATAACTCTTTTTAAGAAAGAAAGAAAAACACTCCAGGCACGTGTGTGTACATGCCCAAAATCCCAAAAAGAGAAATGGAGAAGGGATTACAGTGTGATCATTCCCCCATGGAGGGTGCTTCCTCATTTTCCTTCTCTCTCTCTCTGTCACTCTCCTGCGAGCACACATGCCCTCTAACAGAATCTGAAATAATAATAATAGGTCCTCTTCTTGAAGATAAAACTGGTTTATGCAGCTCACACTGTTATTTATTCTATATACTGTATCTTATTTCTTTTTTAGGCAACCCCAGCCTCTAGAGTATTTTTGTTACAGTTTAATAAATATAAAGGGGCCAGCAGGTGGCAGAGTGGTTAAGGTGCTGGACTCCCAAGTGGCTAACCATGATTTGAGTCCCAGACCCAGCAGCTTGAAAGTCACACAAGGCACTTATATGTGCATGCCCAAAACCCTGAGAGGAGAATGGAGAAGGGATTGCGTATGGCCATCTCCCTGGGGAGTGAATTTATCACTTTTTGTCTTTCTGTCGCTCTGCAGAGTGCACACGCCCTAGAGCAAAATTCTCTCTCT